GAGGCGGCGCTGACGTACACGGTTCAGTTTGTGGACGGCACGAAGAGGCGCGTAGACGCCTTCCCGAGTGACACGGTGGCGGTGATGATTTCTCGGGTTGCCCTTCGCGCCGGCATTGTGCAATGGCGCATGTTCTACCTTGCAGAACTTGCGGACGAGGGAACTGTGCTCGGTTTGGTGCACCGCTACCTGAGCCGCAGCGCCACACTGGAGGATGAGGGCGTCACGCCGCAGACGGCTCTTCTCTTTGAGTTCAAGCACTATAAACGGCCGCTGCACTGGGACGACGCTGTGGCGCAGGAGTTGTTTTTTCGCCAGTTGCAGCAGCACATTGTGCGTGAGTATTACCCCGTTTCGGAGGCGGTTGCGGTGCAGCTTGCGTCGTACGAACTTCAGGCGGTGTTTGGCGACTTCACAGCACAAAAGTCGCTTCTGTACTTTGACCGGGTGGGCCTTGAGGCATACCTTCCCATCTCCGTCTCGGCCCATGAGTACGACTACTGGCAGCAGCGGCTGGCGACAAACCACCGACGGCGCGCCGGGCTGACTGCGACGCAGGCGCGTTGTGGCTACATCGACGTTGTGAGCACGACGCCGTGGTGGGGCATGACTTTCTTTGATGTGAGGGACCGCGACAACTGCCCATTCATTGCAGGTGTGGCGGAGGACGGGTTCTATGTTTTTAGTGCGTCGAAGCAGGAATGCCTCGACGCGATTCCGTTCCCTGACCTTGTCGGGTGGGAGCGTTGCCCCGCGGGTGTTGTGATAAGGCGCCGCGGCACTCACACGATGACGCTGTACGCCACGAGCCAGTTGCAGGCGAAGGAGCTCGTGGACCTGCTGAGCGAGTACTACATGCTGCTCCCCCAGCGGGTCCGGGATGGGATGCGCATTGACGTTGGGGATTTGGAGACGGTAAGTGCTGGGCTCGTCAGCCCGACAGTGTTCGAATTTCCAGTGGTCAGTCGTCCGCACCCCGCACCGTACGAATCGCGCGTGGAGTGCATGAAGGCGGCATACATGTCGTACTGTGCGGAAGTGGATGAGCTGGGGCAGCAGCACGTCCCGGCGGCGGCGCTTCTGCGCGCGATGGATCGAGCCGTGGACGATGGCACGGCGCTGGACGCACTGGATCTTGCGATGGCCGACCCTCCCGTTGACGACCGGCACTTTGCTGTTCTCGCCGAAATTTTAACGTTTACGCTCCGCGAGTACGAACCCCCTGAGAAGCACGAGGGGTGGAAGGAAAACATTGCCGTCACGGCGGTGCTGCTGGCACAAGCCTCGGTGGAGCGACAGCTCCTGACGGCGTCTTCTGTGCCGACAATTGCGAAGGTGATCGCGCTTTTCCCCGCGCTGCAGACGCTTGACCTCTCCTACATTCCGCTGGATACGACGTCGGAGCAGCTTGGCGGTGCGCTGGCCAGAGGTGCAAAGCAGCTGCGGCGCCTGGTTTTGAGGGGCTGTCGCGTTGGCGCGCGAGCGCTGCAGTCCATTTTGGTCATTTTTGGTTCCCAGAAGCCGAACGCTTTGGAGCACCTAGACCTCGAGGACAACTTCTTGACGCACGCCGCTATACATCCCCTTTGTGAGGTGCTCATGGATGGTCGCGCAGCACTGACAGAGCTTAACCTGGCGTTCAACCGCCTTGAGCCATCAGGCATCGATGCGATTGCTAAAGCTCTCCGTGCATCCCCGCAACTGCAGTCGCTGGATGTCTCCGGTAATCCTGGCGTTGAGCCGCCTTCAATGCGGGCGCCTTTGCTGGTCACGAAGGGCAGTGGCATTGCGCGACTCTCTCTCCGTTCCTGCAAACTGCACTTTGCACTCTTTGGCGCGATGAACGCGGAGTTGATTTCTAACGGCGACATTGTGGAGCTTAATCTGTCGGCGAACCCCATTGGAGACGGTGTCGACACACGCGCAGCGATGGCGGCATTTAGTTTTTTGGGTGATCCGCGTTCAGCGTGCCGTCTTGAGGTGTTTTGCATGGAGGATTGCGGTTTGATGGAAGGAGTTTTAGGTGATGCGCTTGGAGGCGCCATGGCGTCGAATCGCACAGTGCAACGGCTTTTTCTGCGCAGCAATGGCCTGGCACGGAAAACAGGATTTCTTCCACCACTTTTGACAGAGGCTGTGGGCACCCATTCTGTCTTGTGCGTCCTTGACTTGTCGGACAATGGCATTTCACATGCAGGCTGTATGCGGCTCTTTGCGGCTCTTGTGCGAAGCAATAGCATGTGCAAGCTTTACCTTGACGGAAACCATCTGGGTGCTGCTGAGGAGCCGGCAAGCTACGCCGAGCTTGTTGCCCTTCTTGAGAACAGTGTCTCACTGAGTGTGCTCAGCCTTTGCAACACCGAGATGCAGGATGCTGCGCTGGAAAAAGTTGGCGAGGGACTCTCACGCAATACTGCGCTTCATACTTTTGTGGCGAGTGGCAACGCGTTTACAGCGTCGGGTATAGCGGCTTTTGCACGTCTCATACACCACAATGTGACGCTCAAAAATTTGGACCTTTCGACGGAAGCGCTTTGCCATGATGAGGCTGTGTACGCAGACACGCACCGTCTTTTATCGGGTGTGGGACGGCTGGATTCTGTACAGCTTTAGCGGTGTTTAGAGAAAATATTCTTCACCCTCTTGAATTATCGTTACACCACTAATGGGCATCTTCAACTGTGAGTATGCGTGCGTTTTTTTGGCTTTTTTGTCGGCCACACTTTGCATCAAGCGCTTCTGCTGCGGTTGCCGCTTTTACCACACCTCTGATGCTGTTTACTGTCTTTTTTTTTTTTTTTTTGCAAGTGTCTTGCTTGTGTCCCATGCACAAATTTGTGGGAAAGGCGGATGCTCCTCGACGACAAAAAGAGGTGAATGATGTCTGGAGGGAGCTCGGTTGCCGAGCAGTGGGGCGTCGAGCGCGTTTTACTTGCTGCGTTCGCCGCCAACGCCACCGTCAAGCATCTATGGCATGGCCGCAGAAGGGATATACAGCGTCACCAAGGAGCCGCGGCGGCGGCTCGATGACCCTGCGACCCACCGGGACATCAAGGCGATGCTGGAGAAGCAGCCGTCTGTTTCGTTGGCTGTTGCCCGCGTGATGCACGAGCCGGCACCGCTGCGGCGCACGGCCGTGAATGTGGATGGCCGGGTGGAGGAGCAGGTGGTGCCTCACCCGGAAGCCCCACCCTGCTGCTGCCGTCGGGGTGGCGCAGTTGTGCATGAGAGCTTTCCTTCAAATTATTATACACGTGGTTCTTCTTTTGTCTTGTTGTTGGCGCTTGTGCCACTGTGCGGCGGTGAATATTTTTCCTTTTGTTTTCGCTTGGTGAGCGCAGAGGTGGTGCCTGTGGGGCGGGTGGCGCCATGACCGTGACGGAGCGAAGGTGTGTGCTGCCGGCGATGGGAGAGTTGCGCGTGACTGCGGCGACGAGGGTTCATGAGCGGATGGTCGTCACGCTCGAACCGCAGACGGAGGAGGAGAGCGCCGAACAGCCTTGAGCCGACGTGTTTGGTGCGGAGCTGTTGCCGGGTGTTGTGGCGCCCACCCCTGTTCTCGTGGCGTGCTACGACACAGGGTGCAACGCGACAATCGCCCGCTTTGACTCTGACATGGACACTCACCTGGATGTTTTGCGTGTCGGGGCGCGATGGGGTGGTGAGGACGCGGTGGGGCCGGTGTACTTTTTTTTTTCTGTTTGAATGTTTTTTTTTTGTGTTGTGCGTGAATATTTTTGTATTTTTAGTTGCTTGTTTGTTGGGAAGATTTTTAAATGTTAATATATTATTTTTTTTTTGTATGTGTTGTAGTGGTCACTCGTGCTTTATATTCACTTGTGGGTGATAATGTTTTTGATGGCTTGTGACAAACGGTAGTGCGGATTTATTTACTTTTTTTAATTATTTCTTGCAGGCTATATTTATGAATGAGTTTTTTTTTTATTTTTTTATTTTTGTTGTTGTTGTGTTTTTTTTTTTCTTCTTTTGTACCCGCATTGTGTCTTAAACGCTTGGAATGGTTTTGGTAGTGGGGACACTCAGAAGCCGCTGGTTGATGTCCTGGATTATTTTTATGCTGGCGATATATGTATATATATATATTTTGATGTGTTTTGCTTTTTATTGTATGTATGTATGTTTATGTGTTTTTAGTGTGTGACTGCAGGAATATTACGGTTTTTTTTTTTTTTTTGTATGGCACGATGTCAGTGGCGTAGCGTTTTGTCTTTCATTTGCGTCGGGGGTTTTGCTATTTTTCTACTTTTTTTTTTGTGTGTGTGTTTTGTGGACAGCGATGTACCGTGCCGTTTTAATCATGTTATTACGAAGGTGTTTTGCGTGGCTGTGTGACATGTATGGATGTCCATTCCGTATTCTGGAGGTACCTCTACGTGTTTTGTTTTCTTTTGTTTGTTTGATGATTTCTGTTTTTTTTTTTTTTATTTTATTTTTAAAAGCCTTTTTTTTTGTTATTTTTACGTCTGCGTTGCCTCCAGAAGAGCGGCGGTGGCCATTGCGCAGCGATGCTTCATGAGATCCCGTTGCACGATGCTTCTGCTTCTGCTGCAGAACGGCAGGAAGGTGCGCAGGGTGGGCGTGTCGTGGTGACATTTTTTACCACAAGTTTCCCAAAGGCCATGCCGGAGCAGTCCTACTCCGTGCCGCTGGACACGCTCCCTGATGGCCTGAGCACACTTGTGCAGAGTGTCCTCGCGGAGGAGAGCCAAAAATTTGATTTTCTTCTCAACGATGAGTATATTTCGACCTCGTTGCAGAAATTCCTTGTCCGCCGAGGTATTAGCTACGAGGAGTTGCTCAATATTGAGTATACACCGGCCATGCAGGCGAAGGAGGGATCACTTCTCCCCCACGATGACTGGGTGAGCAGCGTTCGAGCTCCGTTTTTGGGATGCGCGGATTTGCTTCTTACTGGGTCGTATGATCATTGTGTGCGCCTTTGGGACGGAGAGAACTGCGTTGCTCTCGGCACATACCACACCGAATGCGTAAAGGAAGTCTGCCTGCATCCGGTGCGGCCCATGACTTCTTCGGCAGCCGCAAAGGAGTTATCGCGAAAACGTAAGCGTGCAGCGAAGATGGAGGATTTTATGTGTGTGAGTTGCAGCAAGGATGGCAGTATTGTGGCGTGGCGCTTTGACTCCGGTGTGTCCAAATTTGAGCCATTGGGAGCGTTGAATCCACATATGGATGGCGTGGACTCCGTTGACATTTCGCCCGGGAATGGGGAATACGTGGCGAGCGCCTCGTGGGACTGCACCGTGAAGGTGTTTGAATGGTCGCAGTTGTTGAGCACAGAAACGCCGCCCACTTCAAAAGCGCCGCTTATCTCATTTACCGACCATACACGACCCGTTCTTGCCTGCCGCTTTTCTGCGACAAATGGGCCCTCTCTGTTGTATTCCGCCGGTCTGGATGGGGCTGTAAAGGCTCTCAGCGTTGACCAGGCCGTCCTACTCTCAAACTACGAGGGCGACCACCCCATCCAAGGAATTGCCGTGAAGCCTGCAGGAGGAGGAGGCGATCTTATCATCGCCGCCTGCACTGACAATCGCGCACGACTCTATGATACTCGTCAGAAGAATACCGTGAAGGCCTTCAGTGGCCATCGGCAATGGTTGTATGCGGCGACGTGGATGTGGCGACGGGAGGAGGGCGAGCAGGGAGGGCCGCACCTCTTTGCCACCGCCAGTCAGGACAGCACCGTTCGTGTGTGGGATCTCCGCTCCTCCAGTGCCGCGCTTCTTACGCTGGACACCATGCACACGGACGGAGTGCTGGATGTTACGTACGTTGGAAATGCACAAATTGCGTCGGGTGGAAAAGACAACAAAACAAAAATTTTTTCATTGTCGCACGGCGACAGTCCCATGAGTTGACCGTTCATTGCAATCTGGCTTCCCCTTGATTAAGTCTTATAAGGCGAAAAGAGAGAAAGGAAAAAAAAAGGAATAAATAAATTGAGGAACTTGAGAGTAACTGATATGCTCCACAACAACGTTTAATCCTCTTTTTTTCGGTCCCTTTTTTGATTATTTCCTTTTAAAACTTTTTTACCGACATTATATTTTTTTTTCTTTTGCTGCTGCTGCTGCTGCTTAAGATCTCTTTATCGAGTCCCTTTTTGTTACGGAATGTTGCGTCTCTCATGTGTGCTTGGCTTCTTTATAATATATATATATATATTATTTTATTTTAATGAACTTAAAAAAAAAAAAAGAGAGGTAGAGTGTATGGAGGATGATCTTTTCCTTCTGATTCATTTTGACGGCGACGGTGCTGTTACATTGGATGAGACTACGCGGTATTTTGAACGAAATGGCTTTATGCGGGACAAGGACAGTGCACTGAATGAGAAGGGCACACCGCTTGTTTTTTTCAAGGAGACACGTATAGATGTGACGGCATTCCGCGAGTTGGTAAAACTTTTGTGTGCTCATTGCCGGGTCACTCTTGGCAAGGTCTGGAGCGTGTGTGTGGAACAAGCTCTCTACTCCGTGTTCCGCGCCAATGCCCTGGTGCCCGAGATGGTTGTGTCGCGAAAGGCTATGGAACAGCTTGAGCAACACATCATGAGACATGGCGAGACGCCTCCGCCTGATGCAGCACTGTTCACAGGGAATACTTTTCCCGAGTACCTGGACTATGGCGAATTTATCGAGTACTTTCTGGTGCGATGGCCAAATTTGTCAAGGGCAAAGGTGGCAGCGCTGTTGCGGCACGCCGGTGCCGAACACTTCCACGAGGTGCCGCCTTCCGGCCCGGAGACGGAAATCATCGAGGATGGGGCGGTCGATCAAACACAGACTGAGGAGGGAAGAGAAGGTGAAATGGAGCAGCTGCTGCGGTACACCGCACAACTCAAGGCAACACTGCGCTTCAGGGAAGAGGCGGTTGAGAAGGCCGACGAATTGGCAGCGCAGAACACCATTCTTCTTGAGACGTTAGCCGTGGCCGAGGAGGAACACATGCGATCCCAGGAGCAGATCAAGAATTTGTCAAGAAAACTTCAGGAACTCCAGTCGGAAATTGGAAAAAACTTTTCCATTCCTCACACTTCCTTTTCCCCCACTTTCTCAGAGAGTTATGCCTGTTCTGTGGGTGAGGTATCGAACGATGATGCGAGGATGCTTTCTCTTGTCCAACGTTTTTGTCGTAAGCGAGAGCAGGCGGAATTGTCAAAAGAGTTGTTTCTGCAGGAGAAGGCGTCACAGCTCGAGAAGCAAAGTGAGTTTCTTTTGCAGTGGGAGGAGGCGCTACACACGAAAGAGGGCGAGATGGTTCAACACGAGCTGGAGGCCAGGAAACGTTGGTCCGAGGCCTTCCTGCGCAAAGAACGGCGGTTGGAACGCCTGCAGGAGACATTAGAGCTGAAGAGACTTGAGATCGCTGCGCGTGAGGCGGCGATAGAAAAACGCCGGTTTGCCCAACTTGAACGGGATCGCGAGGCTGGTGAGTTATCGCTTGGCGAGAGGCGTCGGCGGATGCAGCAGCTTCAGTTCATTGAAGCGGAGCTGCACAAACGTGAGGAAAGAGCACTGGCCAGGGAGGGGGAGGGCCTCCGGCACGCCGTGGGTTTTGGGGAACACCATCGACTCCGGAGGCCCGTGCAACAACTGGCCCGCGGCCACATGGAAAATATCGGAGAATCACAGCCAACGGACGGCGGGGCCATGGATAGCCGCGTGTTGTCACCATCCAAGTGTCGTACCCCGTACCTATCGCTTTTATCGTAGCTTTTTTTTTTGTTGTTGTTGTCTGCGTGTGTTTGGTTTGGTTTGGTTGTGTATGCAGACGTTACTTTTTTTGTGTCTGCCATGGCGGTCCTTTCCGCTGCGCTTGTGTTGATACTGATGCTTGTATCATGTGTGCATGGATTCTATAATACCCTTCCTTAATGCCTTTGTTTTTGTTTGTTTGTGGTGTGAAATTAATTTTGTTTTGTGGTTTTTTTTTTCTTTCTTTTTGTTGTTGGTGTTCTTTTTTGATTTTTACTGGATGAAATCTTCGTTATTTTCTTTCTTTTTTTTTTTTTGCCTTTTCTGTCGACTTTTTTTTTTTTTTTTTTGAACTCTTTTGGAAACATTGCCAGGGAGTTGAGGCAGTTGAGATATAAATTTTTTTTTTTTGTTTGTGCGTGTGTGGCGATGGGCGCCAAGAAAAAAACGACAAGCCGCTCGTCCGGCAAGAAGAAGGAGGCAGAGAATGATGTGCTGAGCGGACCGATCTCGTTTGGCGAGATGTCGCCTTACGATGAGGAGGCCATTGAATTTGACGATGTGCTGTCGGACGAAAATTACGAGGAGGCGCACGACGAGACGATTAATGACGACGACGACTTTGAAGTGAAGGCGGAGAAGTATCGTCGGCAGATGCTTGCCCTCAGTCGCGAAGCCGCGGAGGAGCGTGACGCGGACATGCGAACTCGTGCCGTGAAGGCAACCCCGTTACACGATGCCGAGGTGGCAGAGGAGCAGATGCAGCTGCTTGGCCAGCAGCACACCACAGAGGAGCTGCGCGATCGTATTCAGGAAACGATTCGTGTACTGTCGAATTTTAAGGAGGAGCGAGAGGAGGAGCGGACACGCGGCGAATATGTGGATTTGCTGCGCTCCGACATTATGGCACTGTACGAATACAATGAGTTTCTTACAGATGCGGTTCTGCTGCTTTTCCCACCAGCAGAGGCTGTGGAGTTTTTTGAGGCCATGGAAAAGCCGCGCCCGACGACCATTCGCGTGAACACGCTGAAGGCCAAACGCCGAGATTTGGTGCAGGCGTTGCTGAAGCGTGGCATGCATGTGGAGCCGCTGGAGAAGTGGTCCAAGGTCGGTTTACAGGTGTTTGAATCAAATGTTCCAATAGCGGGAACTATCGAGTACCTTGCCGGGCAGTACATGCTGCAGTCGGCGGTATCGTTTTTGCCTGTGATGGCGCTCGCCCCGCAGGAAAAGGAGCGTGTTCTTGACATGGCCGCTGCGCCTGGCGGAAAGACTACATATATTGCTCAGCTGATGAAAAACACAGGTGTATTGTTTGCCAATGATGTGAGCGAGCCCCGTACGAAGGCGTTGAATGCCAACCTGCAGCGTCTTGGGGTGACAAATACGGTGGTGACAAACTACGACGGTGCTGGCTACAATAAGATCATGAAAAACTTTGATCGTGTTCTCCTTGACGCACCGTGCACAGGGAGTGGTATTATCTCACGGGACAAGAGCATCAAGAGCAGTAAACACTACGAGGATGTTCAGCGAGCCTCGCAGCAGCAACGAACGCTTCTTCTTTCCGCCATTGATGCGGTGAAAGTTGGTGGCTACGTTGTTTACTCCACCTGTTCGTTTCTTGTGGAGGAGAACGAAGCGGTTGTGGAGTTCGCGGTGCGTCGACGCCACGTGGAAATTGTCGAAATGGGACTTCCGTTTGGTCGTCCCGGGCTTACGAAGTACCGCCACCACCGATTTCAAGAAAAGATGCAGTGCTCCAGACGCTTTTTTCCGCATGTGCATAACATGGACGGATTCTTTGTGTGCAAACTGAAGAAGTTGTCCGATGACTGTCGTCCAGAGGCTCAAGACATTGCCGCGGTGGAGGAGACGAAGAATGGCGTCTCACGTCGTGCGAAGAGTGGAATGAAGGGAGCCGCCAAGCGACAGCGCGACGGCAGCGCAGACATCGTGGCGACGGAGTCAAGGAGGGAAAGCCGCATAAGCGTTCCTCCACCGACGCCAAGGGGCGGCAGGAAAAAGCACCGTAAAGTTTGAGAGGAGAAAAGAGCGAGTGACAGTCGTGCTAATAATTTATTCCTAATATCTTTTTTACCGTTTAATCGGAATACACAACCACTCTCCCGTGTGAACGCATCCGACATATTTTTTTTTGGGGGTGGCCATTGTGGCGTGCCTCTTTTTTTTTTTTTTTGTTGTTGTTGATGGCTTTTCTTGGCTTCTTTTTTTCAACGATGGCGTTTGTCTTGTTTTTGTTGCGGTGAAGCACGAAAAGAACAAAAAAAGAGGGGGGAGGGGCGGGAGTGAGTGAGTGTCTTTTGTGTAATGGCTCCTCCGTCTCCCTCTGCCTGTGATCCTCGTGTTTACCTCCATGAGAGGGTTCGGCAGCACTATTTGGAGGTGCTGCCTTCACGCTGGCGTGCTGTTCTCTTCCGATTGGCGAAAAACACTCAATTGCGACAGAAGAACGATGTTATTGTTGAAACTCATCTGCTCTCCGAGATACAAGCCGACTTTGACCTCATCCATGCACTATTGGATGAAGAGCATCGTGTCTACCGGGAGGGCGTGGCATGTCTCTGTTCTCAAACATCGAATGGGAAATCCGAAACGGAACGATGGACTGCTTCCCGTCATCTCCTGCAGGGGATGCTTTCTTGCATTGCGATGAAGGAGATTCTTATTGCGCACTGGAAGAACGATCTTGTGGACATTTCCCCCAACACACTGCGTGTATATTGCCATGCATGTATTTCTCATCCACACGTGTCTGAGACAGATATAGAGCGGCTTTTGGCCCTTCACACAGTTTCCTGATAATCAGCGTTTATTTGCGGTAGTCCTCTAGTGCCTCTTCTTTTTTTTTTTTTTTTTTTGATGCCATTTATTTATTTATTTATTTGTTTAGTGATGTTTCTTATTTTTATTATTTTTCTTTTTCTTTTTTATTTTTTCCTTACATTTTTTCTTTAGTTTTTGGTGGTTTTGATTGTGTGTACTGGATGCGCCGGGCATGGATGAGCTCTATGTGTTTCTCCTTGACTGCGGTGTGTCTTGTAAGGAATATGTGTTGAGTCGTATGCATGATTTCCGAGAACTGCTTGGCGTTTGGCATCAAATTGCCTTGAGGATGTTTAAAAGTACGTTTTTGGCTTCCGCTGCCATATTTATTGTGGTCCTTGTTGTGTTTTTTACACTCATCGGATGTGTTGCCTTTTCACTTGTCGGCTCAGTGACTATACGGCACTATATCCTGTCGCACGCCCCTGGAAATCAGCTAATGTCACTTACATTCAATACAATGCCGTTTGAGACGGAATTATGGCGATTGCGCAAGGTGGATGCCATCGTGTCACATCTCACATCCCAACCGGAGTCATTGCTCCAACGCAGCGACGACTCTCTCGTTGTATCCACGAAGGAAACGACCGACAAACAACTGACATCTTCCGTTGCGGGGCAGGCTGCCTCTCTTAAAATGTCACTCATAGAGCAGTACGTTAAAAACACACTGGCGACAAGCACGTTGATTATTCCTTCATTGGCTCAGAAAGAAGTGTTTCCTCCTGGTGGTGGCGTTTCCATTGAGGCACTCTTTGAGCAAAAGAAGCCTATGTTCAATGCCAAGGGCGTATATGACGCCAAGATGCAATTTGTTTTCATGAAGGAAGATGCGGGCCGCGACGTTTCAATGGTGTTGGAGTCCGCTGTTCTGTTTGCCCGAGATCCCGATGT